AATATATCTAATTTTATTTTGTTTGTAGAAAGTAATACAATTATTGGATACAATTCATCAGGTTACTATTGTTTTTAAGACTATTTTAAATCTTATTAATCTTTCAGTTTGTCGTAAATATTGCCTTTGATGCTGATCTGGTGTAAAATGATAGGTTTATGTAAATATATATATACAATCACTATTCTAAAAACAGCTGAACTTCGGTCACGCTACTGAAACATCTAGTTTGTTTAAACTACTTTCTAGTTTCCTGCATGCATGTGAAAAACCCGACAATGCATGCATATGATGAAAATATCCAGCCAGATAAGAAGAATACAGTAAAAAAATATATATTTTTTTTTATATTACATTACATTTATGCATTTGACTTACTGTGAAATTCAAGGTATTATATATGATCGTGCAATAATAATGTAATTTATTAATTACATATGTACCCCTGGAGCACAAAAGCAGTGTTAAGTCGCTGGGGTATATTTGTAGCAATAGCCAACAATACATTGTATGGGTCAAAATTATACATTTTTCTTTTATGCCAAAAATCATTAGGATATTAAGTAAAGATCATGTTCCATGAAGATATTTTGCAAATTTCCTACCGTAAATATATAAAAACTTAATTTTTGATTAGTAATATGCATTGCTAAGAACTTCATTTGAACAACTTTAAAGATGATTTTCTCAATATTTAGATTTTCTTGCTCCCTCAGATTCCAGATTTTCAAATATCGTCCTATCCTAACAAACCATACATCAATGGAAAGATTATTTATTCAGCTTTCAGATGATGTATAAACCTCAATTTCGAAAAATTTACCCTTATGACTGGTTTTGTGCTCCAGGGTCACATATGTGAATTACTTTTTTTTTTTTTTTCTGTTTTCATTTTAATTTTATTTGCAGTTATTGTTTTTGTTGTGTTTTTGTCATTGTGCTTTTAATATTATTTAATATTTATAATATTTAAAAAATAAAATATTTATTTAGATATTTTTTTATTATAATTATAGATATTTGTGCATTACATATATATATTTTTATAAATAATTTAATTATTTTCCCCTATTTTTAAAAATTATTCTTTTGAGTTTTGCTCATGGTTTTTGATGATGAGATGAGATGTAATGTAAGTGTTTTCTTCTCCTTTTAAAAGTTGAAAAGTATATTTATTTTACAGTCCTAATTATATGGTAAGTTTCATTTTATGAAAATGTTTTTGCATTTGTCAAGACTCATTTCTGGCTCATCAGATGCAGCCGTTGAGGACAAAAGAAACATTCATTAAATATGATCTTGAATTCTTCAGGAATCGAACTCATTTAAGCTACAGGAAAGCGTTGCATGTTATTTCTAGAGCAATAGTCTGCAGTTTATGTACAGTGTGCAGCACGCTAGTGTTTCATTCGGAACATTTCCCTCTTGTTTTCTCTCTGTTCTCCCGCACACACACACATACACACACACAAACACACACACTTACTCACACACTCACTCACACACACACACACACACACACACACTTACTCACA